TCGTATTTTTACCACATGCGTTGAAGCGTTTCAGACAAAGCGACGTCAAGCTAGAAGAGGTATTTCGGCGCGTAGAACGGTAAATCTTCAACCGATTTTAAACAAACTTAACTCTGTCCGTACTTTCAGGCAGAACACCAAAAACTATCTCCTCCTGTTGGAGTCGAAGATGATCTCTTGTCACCGTTGTACAGTGAGTAAAGTATCAATATATTGAATAACTGCCATTTCACAATATGTAAAGCTGTTTGAAGCTCTGATTTACTGCGAAACCCCGTGCATATAATGCACTTTAAATGAAATTGCTAAACAGATATAAGCAACAAACTGACCTGTAATATTCACTAATTACACAGAAAGTAGATATCCTTACGTTTATGCCCTATTACCGTATTTTGGCATCGTTATAAGTAAACACGTGAACCTTTCTTTCCCTTTTCTCGTCATCAACATCTGCATTAAGTTCATGTAAAAACAGTATTGGATAGAAATTGAACGATTTTGGCAATCTACTGGCAGATTAGAGCATAAATTACCACAGAGAGTAATTACAAAATAATACACAGTTATTTCTTGAATTAACCAGGCAGTCGTAAGCCTTCTGGCAGATGTGGCGCATATCAAGAATTTCTTTTTCTACCTTGTTCATTTGCATTGCAGTACCACTTTTCAAAATGAATAATAGACGTGTACCTTCGCACGACTTCGAAGGCTGTAACTCTGTCGCTAAAGAATTAAAGGAAAGTTTGTGACCGTTGGCATGATTTCCTTACAATTTCACGATGGACCCATTCCGCCATCATTCTTATCATAAAGCTAATGGTGTGGCACTGATTTCCATTTCCATACCATCGGCTAGGAGCACGTTATATTAAAGGTGTAGTTGACAACAGCTGTGTAACCAGCATCGTGTGTAGCCTCCTGTTTTCTTCACACAACGTGGTGTTCATTTATCTACCTCGGAAGGAAGAAAGACGAGTATCTTGACCGTGAATCGAACCGGGAACCACTCGGTTCTA